AAGGGACTTTGTATAAAATGATTTGAATAAAATGTCCAACAAACAACAATATTAAATACTAAACTACTTAAAATTTAACGAGTAGGTAGATGGATTTTCAATATTTTAAAATATTCCAGTTACTAAACTAATATAGATAGGGTATAAAATAATGTATAGTATATAATGCGTGTAATTAAATAAATATGTCATATATAGGTATTAATGGCAGACGTTACCCAAAATATAACAACTATTTGTTTTCATTTCTTTGGAAAAATTAGTTGATTTTTATTCATTAAAGTTTAAATACTTGCATGAAATGTTTAATTGATTTTTAAATGTATTTCTAAAATCATTGCAAATGGCCCTATGGCAAAATATAATGGGTATAAATAGGGCCGTATTTAGAACTTTGAAACTCCGAGACAATTATAAAATTCAACCTCCCCTCTTTTAGGAATGAAAGGGATACAGTGTTAAATAAATACAAATCATAAATGTAATTAAAATAATATAATAAAATAACCAAAAAAGGGGGAAAGTAGGTAACCGCACTACATCATCCCTGAACATTAGGATTAGGAGCAGAGTGTACCTCGTCATTGAGTAGGTCACTATAATCGATTGCATACATTATTTTATACGAAAAACGATTTTGAGGAGAGACGGCTTGTCAGAGTATTATCATATAAATATTAAATAAATGGCTATAAATTATTACTATAGTAATTTATTTTACTATTTATTGTAATACGATATGAACTAATACCATTAAATTATTCCAAATGTTTTGAAAATATCATTGTGTAATGTATATAAAATATAATAATACACCTACATAGAAGTTTTGATCCTCACGAAAAATATTTTTGAATTACAACAAAATAGCTATAATCGTTATTCATTGTTTAAATGTCAAATTTAATCCAAATTTAAACTTCATGAGTACAAAACAAATCAATAGTACTAACCTATACGGATTTTAGATTTTTTGATTTCAATATAAACTAATATTAATGAAGAACCATTTATTACATTTTAAAGCTATAACTATATAAACAAAACATTTTATATATTTTTGTCTACAAAATATTTTGCAAAGTTTCGTGATTTTGACTAATTTTGTTAATATTTTAACTTCAAATACTTATACAAAAAAAATACTTACGGATCTTTATTATTTTTAAATTATTATAATAAATCTTGCGCAGAACCTGGTATTACAATATCACATTTTTACCAAGAGACAATTTTTTTGTAATATAAAAAAATTTAAAAAAAAATCAAAAATGTAAAATGTCTATAAATAGTTCAAAAAGAGGCAAAATATTTTTAAAATTATACGATACCTATATAGATAATAGAACCAATAATAGAACAGCATGAATCATGAATAGCTTCATGGTATAAATAGGCAATAGTTTAAAATTAATCTAAATATTTTGAAAATGTCAATGCGTATAGGTAAATATAATATATGAAAAAGTTTTAAATCACCAGGAATAATGATTTTAAATTACAACAAATTAATTTACTAACATCGATATTCTCCGTTTATCTAATTTCGCCGAAATTTTAACTTTAAATGTCTATTAGCAATAAGATCAGTATATTGACAAAAAATTTGTTTTCTAAATATTACCTAATTGTAATAGGTATTTTTCTTTGATTTAATATAAAAATATTATATAGAAGTACAAAACCTTACTTGTATTTTATATAAATTGTATGTATGTAATTTTATATTTGTATGTATTATACAATGGTACCATTGGGTTTTCATACGTCATATTATGTTTACTTTCAAACCACTTGCAATAACGCAATGATAAATGCACTTTTTTAATTTCCACCTACAAATTGACATTACAATACATAAAATAAACAAAATATTAACATTATTTTATTTTGATATTAATTAAGGTAGTTAGCTAAAAAAAAGACCAAAAGGTCGTAAAAATGTATCACCCCTAAAGTTCTACCCTGGGCCCTGGCCATGGGACTATAAATAAGATAATGTATTTTAATATAGTACTTAAAGCCCAGACAAATATCTTCAGGGTTCTGCCTGTCCTACTTATAATGCGTATAAATGATATGTATACAACTGTATATATAATGATATGTATACCTACATCGAATGCCAATATTTTATCACATCATTTATTCCGGCTTATATCGTCAAACATTCTAAGCAGTAAGCACAAGTCACAAACTATAAGATATACTAGTATAGTAGTTTATCTTAGTTCGTGGCATAAGTGGCTATTAGGGAGTGATGTTTTGTATGTCTTATCTTAGATACAAATATACAATTTTTAGATGCATTTATCACAGATATTTACAATAAATACTTTGTGTGTGTACATATCTGTGGCATTTTTTGTAAATATTTTGATACGTGTACACCAACATGACAATAAAATATATAAATGTTTCTTTTTTTTAACTATTGTTTTGGTTTCTTTCAATGGTTGTAACACTAATAAATAATAATGATTTAATGAGGGTACCTAATATGAATAATAAAAACATAGATGCGTTTGACATTGATGTCATTGTTTGTATTTATATTACATAAACACATAAACAATGTATAATATTTTCATTGAAAACAAGCTATCAGTACCTAAATAAAGGTTATTTTTGAGAGAAAATAACGTTGCATTTAAACTGGATTGTAATGTATATAAATTTATATTGTATAGTATATACTGATGGTATTCAGAAAGGTCACTTATTTGGCAGAAAACATGTGGACTAATTCAGATGAAACAAACAACACAACAAATGTCACTTGAAAAAAAAGTAAAATGTGTATAATAATAAATTATACCGACAATTGTGTGAGCTTTTAATATAAGAAATTAAAATATTAACTTATTAGTAATTACTATAATTTATAAAATTATATATTAGTCGTATAGTTGAAACTTGAAAAAATATATATATATCAAAATAATAGTAAATCTAATTTTTACATATAGCAAAACATAAGTACATAAGTACTGCTATGTAATATAAGTACCTAATTGTTAGATATTTTTGTAATATTAGAAATTTTAATAGAAGATTCCCCACAAATTTTTCTCTTTAACAAAAAAAAATTTTTATATTTTTTTTATAATTTAAAATGTTGAGAGATGTTTTATATTCAGCTAAAAATTAACAAATTTCCATTAATCGATTTTTTATATTTTGTTGTAATTCAAAAACGAATAACCGTAAACACTTGAAATTTTCACCAAATATTGATATTATAATTTTCCATACATGGTAAACACGATTATATTTTATACGCATTTAAAGTTTAAATTTTGACAACGTTCATCAAAATCCCGAAAATTTTCAAACTATATATCAGTTAAAAGTTCATTAAAATGTTTCTTTTCATAGCTAACGTTAGAAATGTTAATAGAATATTTCCCTTAAGTTGTCTACCTTTCACAAAAAAGAGTACCGGAAAATTACGCTATTTATAATCAAATAGATGATTTCCATTTTTCTTAATCATTTTAAAATACTTATTAAACTTGAATATTTATACAATAATTTTAGGATGACAAATGGTCTCTGCTCAGAATCATTTTTTTATGCACATCCATTATAATGACATACTTAACAACTACTGTATGGTAGAGCGGTACCCACTTGTCCAACTTTTCTTTATTTCAATTAAATGTGCAAATAGATAAAAGTGCCGGGTTATCACACGTGTGAATTGACGACTCGACCACTTATTGAATTTTGAAATTTGAAATAATGATAATATAACTAATTAGCAATTATTAACTAATAGTTATATACTCATAACTCTGTTATATACACATATTTTATTTATTTACTTAATTTTAATAGTTTATTAGGTATTTAGATAATATTTATAATTTATATAATATACATCTACTATATAAATGTTTACTTCTATTCGTATATTAGCTTTTTATACTTAAACATTCAAAATCTACCTAGAGTATGCAGTGCAAACCCTTTCTTAGGTAAGCTTAAATGTATGGTTTCTTTATACGCTGCCATAAACATTAAAACCGCTGTATAACGCTATATAGGCTTCAAACATTAAACTTATATAGTTATATCAAAATCATTGACCATCGTAGTTCTTACTTTTAAGTACCTACTAGCTATCTCGTTAGTTATTACTTATTATTGTCATTGGTCATTAAACACGTCATATTTGTTGTTTCTAAACAGTGTTTTCAGATGTTATTACCTTTTTTTGTGAGCTGTCGCATACAGTGATCCATCTTTATCATCGGGTGTGTTTAATAACATATTATAATACAATTATGATGGGTAACAAATCAACAATTTAAATTTAAATCAACTACCTAACTTAACTAACATTACGTCATTACCCTACCTCCTACAGGCTACAAGTCACTGTATTAATATTGCCTACTTTTGTTTTGTTTTAACTATTTTTTATGTTTATTTGTATAGAAGTTAGGTTGTTTCGAATTAACTTATGACTGTTTACGTGCCAATACCAATGTATTACTTGTATTTATTCAATTAATTACGAATTACCCGTGTAGTCGAATGGTTATTTATTGTTTATAGTCACAATATAAAATTGCTATAATAATAATTTTACTCGTCGATTCGTTACACCTTGCACTTATAAGCCGTTTAGCCGTAAGATTAATTATTTTTTCATTATCCAAATAATAAGTAAATATAATGCAGAAATATACATCTACATCTACCTAATTGGATATTATAATTATATATTTAAAGTTTACATTATTGACAATTTAGACTCCATTCACTAGAAGAGTTATGGTTCAGTAAGATTTAGCAGTATTGTGATATAGCTGGAAGGTAGGTAGTAGGTACCTACCTACATATTATTATAACTTACACTAATAATAAATACAACGTCTAATTATGAAATAACTAGGTCGGAAAACATAAATATTTTATAAACTTATAAGTTATAATGCATATTAATATCGTGTATGTTGGATAAAAAAATATCTGTAGTATCTTATACTCACGCCGGAATCACCTCCAGAGCGTCTTCAAACTGTAATACAATAACAATAATACTGTTGTTAATAATATTGATCTCAGTATATTTCAGATAAGCGTTAATATGTATATAAAATAGAAATGATAATAATATAAACCTAAGTCTATAATTATAGTCATACTATTAAATATGATAGGCACAATATGTCAAGATGTGGTGCTTTAATGTTCTATAATCTTGTCATTTCAACGAGACTTTTGATCGGAATCTCGACGATTCGATATTATAAAGACAAAGGTCGTATAATTTACCTCGTCCTCAGCATCGCCGCAGTCACCCATCTCGACTGACAAAGTGTGTTGGGGGAAAATGCTCGGCGCGGGAAGTTGTAGATAATATTTATATTGTTCTGTCACCGTCCGGCGGGAAAAATACTAATTATAATATTATGGAGTATAGGTATATGACTACGAAATCGCTGAATATGCGACCGGATTCTCTGTTTGTGTCGCGTAGACAACGAAACGATAGCAAATCAGTGTGATATAAATATTATATTCAAACGAAAAGCGATTGTTCGACCGGACGGCGATGCGGCGCAGGCGTACGCGTGACCCGGCAAACTGCAACTGACGTCTGACTACCAAGTACCAAGTACGCTGGCGAACCAACGCGGCGCGACGCGAGCAGCTGCTTCGTTCACGGAATGATACGATGCGCGCCGACGCACTGACGTACTATTATTTATTATTACTGTTCATAATAATATTATGATCATCGCGTCGCTCGTTCGTATAACAATAATATTATAATGCATCGTTATAGTAATATTGTGTTGTAAGTTTTTTTTTTTTTAATCGATGTCCCCCCCCCCTCACACAAGTACATGACACGACTAAATCACGGTCCAAACCGCGTAAAAACCTCGACAGCCTTGACCCGGTTAGCCGGTGTGAAAGCGCAGCGGCAGAGGATGATAAATAATATATAACATATTATATTATTGTTTTAATATTTGATAAAAATGAAAATAATAATAACAACGACATCAAAATATTGTGGTACTTCGATATCAACACTGTTATCATGGGCCGGACGGCGGCGCAGGACACCCATCCCGAGGCGGCGTGTTATCACTGCGACAACTTACGCGTAGGTTCGCGAACTTATCTAGCACCGCGGCGATTACGATGATATTATTTTCGTATTTTGTCCATGCATTCTAAACAGTTTAAGTCTCAGAAGGTTGAATTGATTTTTGCCGAACAAAATGCATTTCAAAATTAAATTGTGTGTATAAAATATAATAATATACTTTAAAACATATACCCACAGTCACAAATAATAGAAAATATTTTTAAATTACAACAAAATAAATAAAATTGTTATTCTATGTTTAAATACCTAATTTGAACTAAAAATTAAAACAATTTTGAAAAACTGTGTTTCTTGTTTATATAGTTTTTTTAGATTTTTTAGTTACAGTATAAACTACTTAATATATGAGTAGGTCTCGGATTTTGTAGCTAAATGCTTCTTTTGATGGGATAGAAAGATAATTCTTATATATAAAAACGTATTGAGTCGTTCTGATTGAAATAAAGTAAACTTTATTTGCTTTTTTCCTCATTTGGTACTTGTTTCTTAATTTTTACATAATTTTCTTGAAAATTTAACATAAATATAAACATAAAAATTATTCTTCGACAATATTATTATTGCCATTTGCCATAAATTATACAATCAGCGAAAAAACTAGTAATAAATGGATGACTGATAAAATAACCTATAATCGTTATTGAGCCGAAATTGTAGTTTCATCAAAATTACCGAGTCGATGATAATAATTATTTTAAATAATAAATAATAAATTGTTTTCAACGTCAAATTTTAAATGTTATGATACATATTTAATTATTTTGAAGCTCATCTATTTATTATAGGTTCATTTAGTGTATAATTTATCTGTCTATTTTGGATTTTATCATTAAAAGTTTTTTCATGAAGTTTTCAATGTATAAAAGTTATATTTAGGAGACAGCAGCTATAATATAATAGAAAAAAGCACGTCACATACTAATGATAATATTTAATTGTTTTATGATGATATATTTTTAATCCAGATATTTGAAAACAACTACTGGTAAATAAAGGAAACCATACGTTTTAAGGTTACTTATAACACTTTTAAATACTATTTATGGATAATATTATAATATTCGTATTAAACAGTTATTAAATAGATAGGTACGTCACTTTATTTAATTTTGGACGTTTAATAAATGTGGCCTTGTTGTCACGAGACATAATAGTGGTATGCACCCGGATGTGTACCGGATTCGATCACGGATCTTCTATTAAAAAAATTGAGGTAATTTTTGAAAATTGAAGTTTTTGAAACATCAAAAACATATCTACTTACAAAACCCAAGTAGCAAAAAAAGTGATGTATCCACCATTTAATTAATAACTTTTAAACCGATCAGTTGTTTCCAAGTTGAAGTTCATCAATGTATCACAACGAATTTACTGTGAATTTGATTTTTGGCTCTCTTGAAAAATTTTGTTTTTGACGGATACGGCTGATTGCCTGTTAGTCGTCAATTTTACACTGCAATAAAACCTCTGCGCACGCCTATGATACTCTCTTAATTATTTAGACTACTGTTACCCATGCAAGATCGCTATTTAGGTTATAGCTATGATATAACCGGGTATTAAAAACAAAGAGTACCTACATAACTCAAGTAATGCATAACTTAAAAAATATCACAAATTTTTAACCAAATTATAATTAAAAAGGTATATATATTTATATATATATATATTTCAATCATATAAATCGCATAAAAAAAATCAATAGTTAATAAGCTTTTAAATTTTTAATTGAGAAAAAATCAACTATACCGATGTATATAGTATCCGTGAATTCCTTTAAATAACTTTTGATATTTTGTTTTCAACATATTAAACATTTCATAACAAGTTTCATCAAAGTTTGTATAAAACTAAATTACTGTTTTAATTAAATGTTTTATTAGTTTTCGAAAGCGTCGAGAAAAACAAATAAAAATTAAGGAAAACGAGTATTTTCACGCCTAATCGGTTTTTGACAAAATTGTTTTTTGTGTAACTCTACAACAAATGACTGTAGCATGCAACTTTCCCTGATTTTAGATACTGAGCGGAGCGATGATGTATTGATTTTACAATGATGTGTGTTTTTATTTTTTGAAAAGTTTACTTTTTTTACAAGTGGCAACGTAAAATTAAATAACAATACTTAATTCTTTTTTTTTTAGATTAAAAGCACCTGAAAGACTTGAAATTGTGCAGTCCTGCAAAACTTATTTTAGTTAAATAACATAAAAAATTGAAGTGCATTTTATATGTGCATTATTTTGAACTTTTAGGGCGCATTATATTCCCAGCTTTACTTATAAGTAAATACCGTGATGGCGTGTTGGCGTGATGTAGGTACACTGTAGAAAAGTGTATATATATTTTATTTTTATTTTTATGTGTCTGCCATCATCTTTTAGGACAGTAAAAGTGCTTAGGTTTTCTTCAACAATATATTTTCTGATAGGAAAGTGAATCTAGTTAGTACTTTTGGGGGTCAAAAGTAAAAAGTTCCTAATAGTTTTCAAAAGCGCCAAGAAAAAAAAAAAGTAAAATTAAGGAAAAACACAAAATCAGTTTTCGAGAAAATCGATTTTTGTTCTTGGCGCAACTCTTAAACTCTTAGGTACATACAATTTTGACTGAATGTTTATATTAGCATTTTCTATACGCCATAAAATTATTTTGAGCTATTTACAGACATTTTCAGTTTCCATTTTTTTTAGTTTTTTTTCTATAAATATCAATAAAGTTTTGTCTGTTAAGCCAAAAAGTGTAAAAATGTAATACAAGGCTCCTGATAAATTTTTACAATATTAGTTAAAAATTATTAAAAATACATATTCACAATTTTTTTATAAGCATTTAAAGATCAAATTTTGACAGAATTTATCAAATTTAAAATTTAATAATTATTTTTAGTTAAAAATGTATAAAATGTTCAACTTTTATAGTTAAGGATTAAAAATTTAAAACAAGATTTCCCGTGCATAGGTTATATATAAATTACTTTATTCACAATAATATCTTCAAATACACTTAGTAATATCATAGGCGGTCAGTCAGTTTTCGCTCAGAATCGTTTTTCTTATACAATGATATTATATCATTGAATTTGAATTGAAAACACCATCCATTACAGTGACCCACTGGTAACTTACTGTACAGCAGAGTGACACCCGCTTTCCCATCTTTTTACATTAGTTTCTATCCACTATAATTTTTTCAAAATAGTTTGACTTATTTTAAGATGTTTACGGACATATTCAGTTTCCAATTTTTTTTCCTTTTTTCTTCTATAAATGTTAAAAAACTTGTATTCGTTTGGTCAAAAAACTTGAAAATTGAATACAATATATATATTATTACAATAACAGCTGAGAAATATAAAAAATACATAGTCACAATTTATTTTCATAACCATTTAAAGTTCAAATATTTACAAAAGGCGTAAAAATCACGAAAATGTGCAAAAATATTTTGAGTTAGAAATTCATAAAATTTTCTTTTATAAATCTAAGATTTGAAAATGTTACACAAGATCTCTCATAAGATTGTTATATGTTACGATAAGTACGTCCATAGTTTATATCTACAATAATAAAATTATATAACTTCTATATAATAATTGTACATAATAATATGTAATACACATACATTAATCATATCCTATGTTTATTTTATCTGAACCAACATTTGGCATTTGAAAATTAAATATGAATGGTTATTATTATGATTTATGAAGCCAACTACGGCGGACACGTGTATTTTTAGTATTATAAAAATACCTATCTACAAAAAAATATTATTTTAAAATAGAAAACATTATTTAAAAATTTAAAATAAAACAAAGCTAAGGCAATTACGCTACTAATACTTAACAAAGTAGTAATAAGTTGTTAATATTTAATTAGTACAATATTGTAATAAAACATGGTGTATATTTTGTTTAATACAATTTAAATTGATTTTCGGACTCAAATGAATTTACTTGAACGGAGACGATTTCATATCCATACGTGTTATAGGTATAGACTATAGCCACGATATAACAGGCGCCATCTACAAACAGTGGCTGCGTTTTTAAATACGAGTTAAAAAGTTGAAAATTTTAATTCCGTATGACCTCGACGGACCTATCAGACAAGTGTAGTAGAACTATATGAATAATTCATTGGGCTCCACAGTCTCGGTGGTGATAGATCCCCATTAAGCCTTA